TTCTGCGTGACAATTAATGTTCGTGAAATTTTTTTTCCAAAATTTTACACTTTTTAGGACAAAAATATTATATTTAATTACCAATTGCTTAATGGTGCAATGCAATCATCTGACCCATAGGTGGCAGCCATCTCAAGCCAGAGGACGAGAGGACTCTAGCCGCCACGCATATAAAGGATTTATAGTGAAAAACTTTGTTTTTACTGGTTATACTTATTACCTACGTGACTTTAACGAAAAAACCTAAGAGTAAGAAGCGACCTGGCCGTTACAAATGAGAGCTCAACGAAGGTGGATTATTGATAATTACGTGGAAATGTATAGCGGCAGCCAAATAATCTAAACGCGTGACGTGAATTCTAAACGTGGATGGAAAAACCGGAGGACCCGGAGAAAAATCCACGCGACCACGGGGAAAGAGAGAGACACGCAAACTACAAATATACAGCAGCAGGCGTCAGGGTTGGGATCGAACCCACGACCTCCTGCACACCAGGCGAGGTAGTTAACATCTCCTAGCCACCGTGATGATGATGATGAGAGAGAGACACGCAAACTCCAAATATACAGCAGCAGGCGTCAGGGTTTGCGATCGAACCAACGACCTCCTGCACACCAGGCGAGGTAGTTAACATCACCTAGCCACCGTGGCACCCCACAGGAGAAATCCAGAGAAAGTCCAGCGTCTCTGCGGTGAGCTCCGTGTCAGCGCCAGCGGTGATAACGCCATCGGACACTTCCTCGTTGCTTTCGGAGGACCAGGGTCCCTCGGAGATCAACGACAACTGTCATGGGGGATGACGAGAGGGAGCATTAGTCGCATTCACGGTGAGAACCCCAAAAGTCCCCCGATCCCCCACTCACTCCTCCCCTATCTTCCACTACCCCCACTCCAATCCTCCCATACCCCCCTCACCTACCCCCACTCCCCCCTCACCTACCCCCCACTCCCCCCTCACCTACCCCCCACTCCCCCTCACCTACCCCCCACTCCCCCCTCACCTATCTCCCACTCCCCCCTCACCTACCCCCCACTCCCCCCTCACCTACCCCCCACTGCCCCCTCACCTACCCCCCACTGCCCCCTCACCTACCCCCACTGCCCCCTCACCTACCCCCCACTCCCCCCTCACCTACCCCCCACTCCCCCCTCACCTACCCCCCACTCCCCCCTCACCTACCCCCTACTCCCCCCTCACCAACCCCCGACTCCCCCCTCACCTACCCCCCACTGCCCCCTCACCTACCCCCCACTCCCCCCTCACCTACCCCCCACTGCCCCCTCACCTACCCCCCACTCCCCTCTCACCTATCCCCCACTCCCCCCTCACCTACCCCCCACTCCCCCCTCACCTACCCCCCACTGCCCCCTCACCTACCCCCCACTCCCCCCTCACCTACCCCCCACTGCCCCCTCACCTACCCCCCACTCCCCCTCACCTACCCCCCACTGCCCCCTCACCTACCCCCCACTCCCCCCTCACCTATCCCCCACTCCCCCCTCACCTACCCCCACTCCCCCATCACCTACCCCCACTCCCCCCTCACCTACCCCCCACTGCCCCCTCACCTACCACCCACTCCCCCCTCACCTACCCCCCACTCCCCCTCACCTACCCCCCACTCCCCCTCACCTACCCCCCACTCCCCCCTCACCTACCCCCCACTGCCCCCTCACCTACCCCCCACTCCCCCCTCACCTATCCCCCCACTCCCCCTCACCTACCCCCCACTCCCCCCTCACCTACCCCCACTCCCCCCTCACCTACCCCCCACTCCCCCCTCACCTACCCCCCACTCCCCCCTCACCTACCCCCCACTACCCCCTCACCTACCCCCCACTGCCCCCTCACCTACCCCCACTCCCCCCTCACCTACCCCCCATTGCCCCCTCACCTACCACCCATTGCCCCCTCACCTACCCCCCACTCCCCCCTCACCTACCCCCCACTCCCCCCTCACCTATCCCCCACTGCCCCCTCACCTACCCCCAACTCCCCCCTCACCTACCCCCCACTACCCCCTCACCTACCCCCACTGCCCCCTCACCTACCCCCCACTGCCCCCTCACCTACCACCCACTGCCCCCTCACCTACCCCCCACTCCCCCTCACCTATCCCCCACTCCCCCCTCACCTACCCCCCACTCCCCCCTCACCTACCCCCCACTACCCCCTCACCTACCCCCCACTCCCCCCTCACCTACCCCCCACTCCCCCCTCACCTACCCCCCATTGCCCCCTCACCTACCACCCACTCCCCCTCACCTATCCCCCACTCCCCCTCACCTACCACCCACTGCCCCCTCACCTACCCCCCACTCCCCCCTCACCTACCCCCCATTGCCCCCTCACCTACCCCCCACTCCCCCCTCACCTACCCCCCACTCCCCCCTCACCTATCCCCCACTGCCCCCTCACCTACCCCCAACTCCCCCCTCACCGACCCCCCACTACCCCCTCACCTACCCCCCACTGCCCCCTCACCTACCCCCCACTGCCCCCTCACCTACCACCCACTGCCCCCTCACCTACCCCCCACTCCCCCTCACCTATCCCCCACTCCCCCCTCACCTACCCCCCACTCCCCCCTCACCTACCCCCCACTACCCCCTCACCTACCCCCCACTCCCCCCTCACCTACCCCCCACTCCCCCCTCACCTACCCCCCATTGCCCCCTCACCTACCACCCACTCCCCCTCACCGATCCCCCACTCCCCCTCACCTACCACCCACTGCCCCCTCACCTACCCCCCACTCCCCCCTCACCTACCCCCCACTCCCCCCTCACCTATCCCCCACTGCCCCCTCACCTACCCCCAACTCCCCCCTCACCTACCCCCCACTACCCCCTCACCTACCCCCCACTGCCCCCTCACCTACCCCCCACTGCCCCCTCACCTACCACCCACTGCCCCCTCACCTACCCCCCACTCCCCCTCACCTATCCCCCACTCCCCCCTCACCTACCCCCCACTCACCTACCCCCCACTACCCCCTCACCTACCCCCCACTCCCCCCTCACCTACCCCCCACTCCCCCCTCACCTACCCCCCATTGCCCCCTCACCTACCCCCCACTCCCCCCTCACCTACCCCCCATTGCCCCCTCACCTATCCCCCCACTCCCCCTCACCTACCCCCCACTCCCCCCTCACCTATCCCCCACTGCCCCCTCACCTACCCCCCACTCCCCCCTCACCTACCCCCCACCCCCCCTCACCTATCCCCCACTGCCCCCTCACCTATCCCCCACTCCCCCCTCACCTATCCCCCACTGCCCCCTCACCTACCCCCCACTCCCCCCTCACCTACCCCCCATTGCCCCCTCACCTACCCCCCACTCCCCCCTCACCTATCCCCCACTGCCCCCTCACCTACCCCCCACTCCCCCCTCACCTACCCCCCACCCCCCCCTCACCTATCCCCCACTCCCCCCCCTCACCTACACCCCCACTCCCCCCTCACCTACCCCCCACTGCCCCCCTCACCTACCCCCCACTCCCCCCTCACCTATCCCCCCACTCCCCCTCACCTACCCCCCACTCCCCCTCACCTACCCCCACTCCCCCCCACTACCCACCCCACTCCCCCTCACCTACCCCCAACTTCCCCCCTCACCTACCCCCCATTGCCCCCCTCACCTACCACCCATTTGCCCCCTCACCTACCACCCCACTTGCCCCCCCTCACCTACCCCCCACCTCCCCCTCACCTATCCCCCACTGCCCCCTCACCTACCCCCACTCCCCCCTCACCTACCCCCCACTACCCCCTCACCTACCCCCCACTGCCCCCTCACCTACCCCCCACATGCCCCCTCACCTACCCCCACTGCCCCCTCACCTACCCCCACTCCCCCCTCACCTACTATCCCCCCACTCCCCCCTCACCTACCCCCCACTCCCCCCTCACCTACCCCCCACTACCCCCTCACCTACCCCCCACTCCCCCTCTCCTACCCCCCACTCCCCCCTCACCTAACCCCCCACTCCCCCCTCACCTACCCCCCACTGCCCCCACTCACCTATCCCCCCTCACCTACCCCACTACCCCCCCTCACCTACCCCCCCTCCCCCTCACCTACCCCCCACTCCCCCCTCACCTACCCCCACTCCCCCCTCACCTACCCCCACTGCCCCCTCACCTACCCCCCACTCCCCCCTCACCTACCCCCCACTCCCCCTCACCTACCCCCCACTCCCCCCTCACCTATCCCCCCCTCACCTACCCCCCACTGCCCCCCTCACCTACCCCCCACTGCCCCCTCACCTATCCCCCCTCCTCACCTACCCCCCACTCCCCCCTCACCTACCCCCCACGTCCCTCCTCACCTACCCCCCACTGCCCCCTCACCTACCCCCCACTCCCCCCTCACCTACCCCCCACTCCCCCTCACCTATCCCCCCTCCTCACCTACCCCCCACTCCTCCCTCACCTACCCCCCCACTCCCCCCTCACCTACCCCCCACTCCCCCCTCACCTATCCCCCCTCCTCACCTACCCCCCACTCCCCCTCACCTACCCCCCACTCCCCCCCTCACCTACCCCCCACTCCCCCTCACCTACCCCCCACTCCCCCTCACCTACCCCCCACTCCCCCCTCACCTATCCCCCTTCCTCACCTACCCCCACTCCCCCCTCACCTACCCCCCACTCCCCCTCACCTACCCCCCACTGCCCCCCCTCACCCATCCCCCACTCCCCCCTCACCTACCCCCCCACTGCCCCCTCACCTACCCCCCACTCCCCCCTCACCTATCCCCCCCTCACCTACCCCCACTCCCCCCTCACCTACCCCCCCCTCACCTACCCCCACTCCCCCCTCACCTACCCCCCCCCTCACCTACCCCCCACTGCCCCCCCCCTCACCCATCCCCCACTGCCCCCCCCTCACCCATCCCCCACTGCCCCCCCCCCGTTTGAATTTCCCGCGCGTGCGCGTGCTGGCCGCGTCACGTGGACGACGCCGGCCAATGGGCGCGCGGCAGGGAGGAGGAGGCGGCTCACAATGGCGCGGCGGCTCTAGCCCCGCTCGTCGCGACTCCCGCCGATCGGACACCGCCGCTCCCTCCCTACCCGCGCCGCCGCGCTCAGCACCCCCCGTGCCGATCGCCCCGCAAGCCCCGTCTCCCCCCCCACTCAACGCCGCCGTCGTCGTTGTCGCCTCCCCCCCCCCGCCTCAGGTTCGCTTCGCCCCCCTCGCCCGACCCCCGCGCCGCGCGCCTTGCCGCCATTTCGTCTCTTCCCCCAACTCGGCGTCGCCTCCTGCCCCCTCGTCCCCTCGTCTCCCCCTCCTCCTCCTGGCGGCCTCGGTCTCCTCCTTCTCCTCAGCGCCGCCTCGTTCCCCGCGCGGCGAACGCGCTCGGCGGACGAGGTGCGCGGCGCAGCGAGGCCCAGCGGTGGGACTGGGGGGGGGGGGGGGTGCAGGCAGGGGGGCCCCTCGGCTAGTTTCTCTGCCGGGATCGCGCGACCTGATCCCGCGGGAGCCGCCGCGCTGGTCCCGTCTAGGCCGCGCCGGGGTCACGGGCCCCGCGTCTTTCCCGCCCGCAACGCGTCTCGGGGTCTCGGGTCGCAAGGCGACTACGAGTCGCTTGCGGTGAAGCGGCTAATGTTGTGGTTTGTGTGCGTTCTCCTCTCATAACCACAACCCCTACCCAACCACGACCCCTACCCCCTGAACCCCACGGAGTCGTGCTGCTCTTTACCCCCCAGGCGCTGTTGCTGCTGCTGCTGATGGCGGGACAGTGAGGCAGTAAAGCGGCTGTCTCCACAGCCATCGCCTCTTTCCCCTCTCTCCCTCCCGTCCCTTTCTCTCATCTCATCCATCCCTTCGCCTTGCACCGATTCCCCTCCTCTGCTTCCCACTCGCGTCCCATAAAACTCGTTCGCTCCCCTCCTGTCGTTGCATCTTCCCCGCTACGTCCCCCTCCCAGCTCATCCTCTCAACTCTTCTCTCTCTCTCCCGTCCACCCTTCCCTGCTTGTCCTCTCATCTCTCTCTCTCTTCCCGCCTCTGCTCCACAGCTCTCCCCTCTCCTGGCCTCTCCTCCCTCGGGACCATGGAGCAGCCCGCGCCGCCGCAACCCGCGCCCAAGGCCGGCGGCCCGAACCCGCCGCCTCCCGAGACGAGCAACCCGGCCAAGCCGGGCCGACTCACCAACCAGCTGCAGTACCTGGCCAAGGTGGTCCTCAAGGCCCTGTGGAAACACCAGTTCGCGTGGCCCTTCCACACGCCCGTGGATACAGTCAAGCTCAATCTTCCGGTAGGGATGGGATTTCTCCCGTGGGTTAGAGACCACCTGGCCCGCCCGCACTGCATTACCCCCTCCAACTTTCACTCGTCTCATGCTGGGATCGGAGTTTGGTTTTTGTTTGCACGCTTGCTAGCTGAGCAAATGATCAAACAACGTCAAGCAACCACAACAGCACGATGGAAGTTGTAACTGACCGGCGTTAACGATTTTAATTTTGGAGGTTTTTTTTTTAGCTTTCGTGACTGCAGGAATTATTCTTTGGTTCTTTCGGTGAAATACGTGACTTTACCGGCGTTATCGAGTTTCCTGAATTGAGCAGCGATTTTGAGAGGTGGGCAACTTTTGCCAGGGGCCACGACGCATTTGGTAAACTACGTGTATTGGGTTTGACAGCATTGATGGGGTGTTTTCACATTTGTGTATTGTCAGGGGCTGCACTAAAGGCCACCAGGGGCCGCTAGGGACTCGCGGAAGGAATTCCAAAGTGGAGTCGTGTGATGGACAAAGTGCTGTGACCTGCAGTTGCAGCGGTTAAACACAATGTGTTGTGGGATGACATGAAGCGGTCGGTGCCCAGTCGACTCGAGTCCTCAATATAAGTGCCACCAATCGACGGGCGAAGTTCTACAGGAATAGTAACCATGGTAGTAGCTACAGAAGAGTGATTAGAAGGTGATTTGACCCGCTGGTTGAGCAGTTGACTGGGGGCCAAACCAGCGGCTGCATTGAAAACAAAGACTTTTTTTAAAAATGTAAAGGTGCAGCACTGAAATGTTTTTGCTTCATCACTGCTGGTGGAACGATCTCTACTCGAGGGTGCTCTAGAGAGCCACGGTTACGAGATGTTAACTACCTCGCCTGGTGTGCAGGAGGTCGTGGGTTCGATCCCGACCCTGATGCCTGCTGCTGTATATTTGGAATGTGCGTGTCTCTCCCGTTGGTCACGTGGATTTTTCTCCGGATTTTCAGTTTTTTCCTCCACATTTATAATCAATGTGTGTGTAGAGTATTTGCCTGCAATGCATTTCCACGTAATAAGCCACTTGTTTGAGCTATCATTTGTGATAGCAAGGTTGCTTCTGAAAAAGAGCTATATAGCTTAGTGGGCCTTACCTGGTAAAATAAAAATGAAGTTTATTTTTAGCTTAATAACTTTGGCCTACCTTTTCCACACCGGCCAAATGTATTTTAAAGCACAGATCGAGTAGTGGCAACATTTAAAAGTTGGCGGCAATGCACCGGGTTCACCGCGTTTTGTCATCATCTCTGCTTTTCAGCAGAAACAAAATGTGCAAGTGGGCTGTCGTTTCACTTTGCTCTGCTATGCAGAAGGGCCATTTCCCTGAAACGTCAGCCTTTTGTATAAGTTTGTGTCGTACGGCGTTTGCTCTTGTGGAATGTGGTGAGCAGTTGAAGAGATGGGGGGGGGGGGATGCAGTCTGTTCCTGAAGAGTCGCAACGATTCCACTCCCCGGCACCGAGTCGATACAGTTCGTTATTGACAAGTGGATGGCGATTCCAATCTCTTGTTGTGAAGTAAATGGGAGCGATAAAAAAATTCTTACAATGCAGTTAATGACGAGAGTAAATAATCCACTTTAAACTCTGTTCCCTCTGAAGTGTGTCGCACGAGGATAATTTTATTTCCCAATAATAAGGGAGGCCCTCGCTGCAGATTTGCGTAAATTATTTCCACCGCCCCCGTCTGCACCCACCTCTCGCTAGGAGAGAAGTTTAAACCTCTCGTGTCCATACTTGTGGTTTCTGTCTTGTATACTGATTTTTTTTAATACAAGCATAGTTGCTGAGCACAGGCCCAAAACGTCAAATGGGCAGCAACAAACAGCACTGTTGTCAGAGGTGTAACGCGCTTCTTGGATCGAGCGAGGTTATCGTAAGAACTTGACGGATGAGAGATTATGGGAGGGCATCGCAAAAGTTGAGCAGTGCTAGGGAATAAGCAGGTTGAAAAGTGAGGTAGGCCTGGTGAGTGAGTATTCATGGATGGTGGTTGAACACTGTGGATCAGATGAAACAGTCTGCTAGACCAGAGTCCTCAACATGGGTGGAGATATTCACGAGCAGATTTCATGGGATCAGTAAATTACGTTAGTAGCGATAGAAGACGGTCATAAGGAGGCGACTGACTGCCAGCGAGCGAGTGGCTGTTGTGAGTAGGTGAGTGCTGGATCATCAATCACCCTGACTGCTGCTTTACTCTCAATTCTGCAATGAGGTAGCACTTACGAATATGTCTGTTGGATTCCAAATTTGGGCTGAATTTGTGCTCTGTTTAGCGTTAATAATAATTTGCATTTGTACTCTCCCTAGAAGTGCGTTAGACTCTCTCCTGTCTGTGTACTGGCTCATGTTGCATATTTAGTAGTCCGCTGCATTATTGTCCGGTTCTGTCCATCTCGTTTTTGTCTCGGTTGTTCGTCTCACTGCCGCGTTGGTCCAAGCAGTAACGTTCGCATGTTGTCTGCGTAAGCGGCGGGCTTTATAATATGGGATTGGGTCGCGCGATCTCAGCAGTTGCGCGGCCACCGCTTATTGCAGAGGTTTGCCGTTCAAATCCAGCGGGCTGCCTTGGTAAAGACTACAATGCGTATTAACCGTAAACAAAAAAAAAACTACGCGCCGTAGGTCACGTTGGGCGTTCAAGATCCCATGACGTCATTCGAAAAAGACTCGGAAGGCAATTGTGCACGCCGAAATGTGAAAAAATTTACCTGCAAATTACCTAACTGTAAAACCCACATCATAACATCGCTCCCGACTGGCAGACTGTCCCCGTCTGTGAAACACACAGCGCCTTTTGTCATCGCCTTGTGCAATAAGAATATTGTGAATACCACGTGCAAGAGCCCTCCTGGAAATTTCGTGAGATTCATTCAGGAATTTCTTGGATGAATAAAGGGCATTATTTTTTACGTCATACAGGATGGCCCAAAAGTCAGGATCGTACAGGGATATTACATTTATATTAACAAGTGACAAATGGCTATTTCATTTATTTTAACGACTGCCATTAACATTCATGCACGCATGATTTGTCTTTTGAAATAAATTAAGGACTTTTTTAAGTTTACAGGTGTAATCTTTGAACATTCATTGATTATGCTTCATTTCAATTCTCGAGCTTTCTAAATGCCATCTAAAAAATGAAGAAGAAAAATTGACATTAATAACGGATAAAATATTAAAGAATTAACAATTAAAATGCTCATCTTCTTGGTTCTTTCGGTAAAGTCACGTAGAAGGGAAATAATAAAATAATAAAAATAAAACATAATAAAATAATTCTCACGATGTATCGGCCACAACGCAAGCAGCCGTCCTCAGGTCTGTCGGGGAGACAGCGTCTGAATGAAACACCACCACGCTTGGAGTGTATATTTAAGCTGGGTTGGAAGGGGGGAAGGGCGCCGAAACGTCGTGAGAATTATTTTATGAAGTTGTATTTTTATTATTTTATTATTTCCCTTCTACGTGACTTTACCGAAAGAACCAAGAAGATGAATCCCTGCAGTCACGAAAGCTTTAAATAGAAAATTAAAATGCTTTAATGCCAGTGTTCAAATAGATTAAGTAACCTCGCGTATCCTGACTTTTGGGGCACCCTGTATATTGGCGAATTAAGAATAAGACCATTGGCCAGATGGTGGGAGACTGAGGCCAGAACCTGGAGTTCCCTGCGTGTCGCGACTGTGCAGCATCTGTGGTATCTGGCGGAGGGTGGAGAGAGCTTTGGTAGCAATGAGATGCGGAGTCATCAACAGCTTTGGCCGTGGTGGCTTCTTGATCTTCGAGATGTATTGCCCTTCCAAACCCTCTGGTTCAACGAAGTGGCTTATCACATGGAAATGTATAACAGCCAAATTACTCTTCTTGGTTCTTTCGGTAAAGTCACGTAGAATGGAAATAATAAAATAATACAAATTTAACATAATAATTTTTTAAATTATGTTTTAGAATGGAAATAATAAAATTAAAACTTAATTAATTCTTTTATTATGTTTTATTTTTATTATTTCCATTCTACGTGACTTTACCGAAAGAACCAAGAAGATGAATCCCTGCAGTCACGAAAGCTTTAAATCGAAAGCCAAATTACTCTAAGCGCATAATGTTGATTCTAAATGTGGAGGGAAAAACCAGAGAACCCGGAGAAAAATCCACGCCACCGTAGGGAGAACATGCAAACTCCAAATATACAACAGGCGTCAGGGTCGGGATCGAACCCACGACCTCCTGCATACCAGGCGAGGCAGATAACATCTCGCCATCGTGGCGCCCCAATTTAGCGACCGTTTCCAACCCTATCATTGCCGCACATCCACGGGTCCAAAAACCCATCGTTAGTGGCGGCAGCAGTCTGTTTAAATTGTGTAAAACTTACGAAATGCAACCCTGGGGAGGGGGGGGATTAAGATAACGGATGAATGTGAATAAGCAGACAAGAGCCTGAACACGTGAAAATGCAATGAAATAACTTGTAGATCTGTCTCCCTATGCAACGTGCCACTAGGCATCGATAAATGCATCGTTTCGGTAAAGTCACGTAGAAGGGAAGTAATAAAATAATACAAATAAAACATAATAAAATAATTCTCACGACGTTTCGGCCACAACGCAAGCAGCCATCCTCAGGTGGAGAACAGGTCTGTCGAGAAGACAGTCTGAATGGCACGCCCCAGGCTTGGAGCGACTATTTAAGCTTAGACCTGTTCTCCACCTGAGGACGGCTGCTTGCGTTGTGGCCGAAGCGTCGTGAGAATTATTTTATTATGTTTTATTTTTATTATTTTATTATTTCCCTTCTACGTGACTTTACCGAAAGAACCAAGAAGATGAATCCCTGCAGTCACGAAAGCTTTAAATCGAAATTTAAATGTTGTACCCACTGTGTGTGTGTGCCACCCAACGGGAAGGGAAGTCGAGTCAAGGATGTCATGCAGATGGCGGGGATGAGAGGGTGATAATGAGCGGGGGCGGGGAAGAGTGGAGGATGAAGCAAGCAGTGGTGAGCTCGCGTCTGCTTTTACAGAGGGGGGAGGCAGGGAGAGGCGAGGGACCTCAGGGTTGGGGGGTTGCCACAAAAGCCACGTGATTTAAGGGAGGCTTGGGCCGATTGAGATGAGATAGAGATGTATAGATGAGAGGAGAGGGACTCGGGAGTGGTTGGGTGGGGGAGGGGCACACACAAGTTGCGTGATTTGCGCTGCTTTAGATGGAGAGATATTGATTCGATTCTTGGGTATGGCAATATGTTCAGGCGCTGAATGCCATTGTTGAGGTCTGCCAGCCACGAGATGTTTTCAGGAGAGAGTTTATAGTTTTGCTGTTCATCTGTTAAAGGAGAACTACAGGGATTCATATTCTTAGTTTTTTTCGGTAAAGTCACGTAGGTAAAAAAATTTAAATTAATAAAATAAAATAAAAATCACGACGTTTCGGAGGCAACACAAGCTTCCGTCTTCAGGTGGAACCGTCACAGCCACGACAGCTGTTTCAAGTAAATGAGAGATTACAAGAGCTACCACTCCGTATATATAATGGTTGAAGAGGGGGAGGGCCAAATCTAGAACTACAGGGGTTTACTATGTGGTCAATAGTTTGGGTCTTTAGTTTTTACATTCGTGAAGGAGATGTGCGCATCGTCCTTTCGATCTTGTGATGCGGTTAATGGTTACACAACCGGTGTCTTCCGGGAGGTGGGTGATGTTTGGGGTCTTGAATGGGGAGGTGTTTATTCTGGACATCCACGTTGTTCCATTTCGTTCGCCAGTGTTCCTCCAGAGCCGAGTGAGATTATAGATGTATGGATGAGAGGGGAGGGATTCGGAGTGGGGGTGGCCACATGGAAGGTGCGTGATTTATAGGAGGCTCGAGCTGATTGAGATACAGAAAATATAATACAGATAATATGAATAAAACGTGTGCTGGTGATGGAATGTACAACTGACGCGGAATAGTCCACCTGGGCTTGCGAGTTCATTTTTCTGGGTGAACGAAGGCAGTGGCAGTGGTGTTGGGGATTTCAGAAACCTGCCCCCATCGTTTCAACTGCGCGCACCGGGAGATTGAACGGGACCGGCGAGTTGTTAGATTGCAGTTCCGGTCGTGTGCTGCTCACCGTGGCACCACTGGCAGCTCCCAATTGGCTTCCCAGTTTGAACGGTAAACGCGGTGTGTTTTCTGCTCGATATTTCAATAGGCGCGGGTCATCTTAATCCGATACGTTGGCTTTCACGGCCGGTGTCACGATTCATAATTCGTTTCTTTTGGGTTAGGTCGTGCAGGTATATAATGGCAATATTTTAATTATAATTACGTGTAAAACTTGGCATTGTAGCTACACGATCTAGCCCCGAAAGTAACCAAATAATGCGGGCCACATGTTTAACGGTTGTTTTGTGCGGTTATCAGTAACGGAACTTAAAGTGATTTGTAACAGCCCCGATGAACAAGAGGCGAGGGGAATCGTTATCAGACGAGGCCCGCGTTTGCGTAGGAGACGGACCGCCCGCGCGCATGATGCAGCAATCGGTATGACAGTAAAAACGTTCAGTTGAGTCTGATCCGTGACCTCTGAATCGGGGACCGTTCACCGTGGGGGGGGCAGGAAGGGGGGGGGATATAGGGCCCGATGGTCAGGCGAGCTCCTCCACCGTGCAAGGATTTGCGCGAACGAGCTGCGGTGTTTCTGTGCGCGCAGGATTACTACGAGATCATCAAGAACCCCATGGACATGGGGACCATCAAAAAGCGGCTCGAGTCCAACTACTACTGGACGGCAGTGGAGTGCATCCAGGACTTCAGCACCATGTTTACAAACTGCTACATCTACAACAGGGTGAGCGTCGCACACTCGCCCACCCCGCGCAGGCCACAGCTTTAGCCTGTCGAGGTAAACGGGCGCGGTGCAAGAGTGCCGTACACACGATCAATGTACGCACTATCGGTGCAAGAGTGCCGTACACACGATCAATGTACGCACTATCGGTGCAAGAGTGCCGTACACACGATCAATGTACGCACTATCGGTGCAAGAGTGCCGTACACACGATCAATGTACGCACTATCGGTGCAAGAGTGCCATACACACGATCAATGTACGCGCTATCGGTGCAAGAGTCCCGTGTGCACGTTCGGTGCACGAGTGCGGTGCGTACACGTCGCGTCGCGTTTGCTAGAACAGCCGGAGCGATTTCCCGCTCGAATGAGTGTCTGAGTACAGCCCTGAGTCGGTGGTGGTGGTGATTCTCCATTCCTATGGCGGAGACAAACTATAATACTCACTTGCAGGTCGGTGCTGCATCGCCTTGGGCCACACGGGGACAGCTGTCATTGTTTGGGGGGGGACCCCTTGGCTAAGCAAGAGGGACCGAAGCAGCACATTTAGAATGATGGAGATGGGACGTGTGATGCTAAGTGCTTTGAGATTGCAGGGCCATTGAAGTGCCCTTTGCAAATCTATATTCCTTATGAGGGTGCATACGCTGTGTGTGGATCAGTTGCTACCCTGGGACCCCCCTTACAAACGAGATGAATTCCATCTCCAAGGATTTTCAAGATGAAATGTTTTTGATAAAAAAAAAATTTTCATTCTTTTTCCATTTAAAGCTTTCGTGACTGCAGGGATTCATCCTCTTGGTTCTTTCGGTGAAGTCACGTAGAAGGGAAATATTTTTATTATTTTATTATTTCCCTTCTACGTGACTTTACCCAAAGAACCAAGAAGAAAAATCTACTTTGTTGGAGCTCGCTCCGCTTGTGCTGGCCTTGTGGTCGTATCGCTGGCATCTCACCTGACCGCCCCCCCCCCCCCTCCTCCACCTCCCCACTCGCCACCAGCCGAGCGACGACATCGTGCTGATGGCGCAAAGCCTGGAGAAGTTCTTCCTGCAGAAGGTGGCAGAGATGCCCCAGGATGAAATTGAGCTGCAGCAGCCGGCGCCTAAGGCAGCCAAGGGCCGCGGCCGCAAGAATACCGGTGAGTACGGCCGGCCAGTAGGCCGGTAGGCCGCGGAGAAAGCGGCACTCTGGCCGCCGTTGAGTCACGGCGCGGCTGCTCTGCTCGCTAGGCCTCGGCAAGGTAAGGTAATTTACCCTTTTTATCGGGTAAAAGGGTAAAGGTAAAGGTGTCGACATGGGTAAGGTAAAAGGTAGGGTAAAGGTAGGCTCGTTGTTTTTACCTTTTAACTTTTACCTTGCCTTGCCGAGGCCTACTGCTCGCTACGCATGCATAGCGCCGCCTCTTAAGCGCCGTTGCGTTTCGGTTCCTGTGCGTTTCAAAATATCGGTGCTTTTTTATTGTTATATGTAATCGCTTTTTCATTAAACCAAAGCCCAATACAGGATGCAAACGACGGGGATGGGGGGGCGGTACAGACACCTCGCGATAGACAAGGACCCTCCTCTTGGATATGAGATCTACTTTGACGCAAAACTTGATGATATGTAACACAGCGTCGTCAGCAGATACCTGCTTCCTTCACGTGTCTAACCCTCGTGGGACAGAGGCTTGAGACTCGATGATAATTACAATCGTTACTGCTGCTCACCGAGTCTAACACTGACCTGCCACCTCTGACCGCGATCGCTGTGCCGTGTTTCAGCAACCAGCGTGGAGTCACAGAGCCCGGAGGAGGAGGCCCAGGGGGGCCCATCCGCCCCGCAAAGGGGGGCCGCCCCTACGTCGACCCGGCCTCCCCGCGCCGCCTCCGCCGCCGCGGCCGCCTCGGCCGCCTCCTCGGGGGGGTCCACCCCCACGTCGGTAGCGCCCGCCCAGACGCCCGCACCCCAGCCCAACCACGCGTCGCCCGCCTCCCCCCCGGCACCCCCGCCCACGCCCCGGCCGCCCCCGCGCCCGCCCCCCAGGTCCCGAAGGCCGCCGCCCCGCAGCCCGCCCGGGCGGGCCCCCAGCAGAGCCCCCGGGGGGGGGGGCCCTCAGGGCGCCAGGGGCGGGGGCCCTCAGGCGGCGAGGGGCGGGGGGGGCCCTCAGGGGGCCAGGGGCGGGGGCCCTCAGGGAGCGAGGGGCGGCGGGGGACCTCAGGCGGCGAGGGGCGGGGGGGGCCCCCAGGGAGCGAGGGGGGGCGGGGGCCCCCAGGGAGCGAGGGGGGGCGGGGGACCTCAGGCGGCGAGGGGCGGAACCCCGCAGGGCCCCAGGGCGGCGGCCCAGCTGACGCCGCAGGCCGGGCCCCAGGCGGCGCAGCGGGTGGTGTCGACGCGGCCGCCCTTGCCCCGCCCGGCGCCCCCTCCCAGCTCCGCGCCGCCCCCCGCGCAGCAGCTGAGGCCCGTGGCGGGTGCGGGGACGTCGGCGCCGGCAGGGCCAGCGGTGACGTCGACGTCCGTGCCCGCGCTGGGGCAGGTGCCGGCGCAACCCGTGTCAAAGGTGCCGGCCCCGCTCACGTCACCCGCGACAAACGACGCGCCGCCCGCGATGCCGCTCGCGTTGAACCGCACGGGCGAGCCGCGATGCGACACGCTCGCTGCCCGCGATCCACCGCACCGCTCTCAACCCGTCGCCCTCCTACCCACACTCAACCACGCTCGCCACCCACGAGCCACCACGTTCTCGCCACCCACAATTCCGCCGCACTTTCTCTGCACGTGACGTACCGTGCATGCCGCGCACACGGGAGGCATTGAAATTAGCACGGTTGGCTACGTGCGCGCACGTGTACAGATGGATGCACGCCGCCGCAGATGACCTCTCTTCATCGGCGGTCGCTGGAAGCTCCCCGAGTGATCCGCCCACCACTCCCTGTGTGCGTCCCCCGCCTCCCTTGTCGCAGGTGAAGAAGGGCGTGAAGCGGAAAGCTGACACCACCACGCCCATGCCGAGCACCACGCCTCCCGAGAGCGGCGAGGCCTCCCCTCCTGCCGCCGCCGACTTCAAACCGACCAAGGCGCCCGCCCGCAAGGAGGGCGGCCGCGGCAAGGCCCGCAAGGAGATGCCCGACTCTCAGCAGGCGGCAGCCGCCGCTGCAGCAGCGGCGGCCGTGGCGGCCGCTGCAGCCGCGGCCGTGGCGGCTTCCGTCCCGTCCCCGCCCGCCAGCAAGAAGAGCAAACTCCCGGCGCCCGAGCAGCTGAAGCACTGCAGCTCCATCCTGAAGGAGATGTTCGCCAAGAAGCACGCGGCCTACGCATGGCCCTTCTACAAGCCTGTGGACGCGGACGCGCTGGGCCTGCACGACTACCACGACATCATCAAGCACCCCATGGACCTCAGCACCATCAAGGTGAGACGCTTGCGTCGCCCTTCCCTGGCGCTCGCTCGCTCGTTCAGCGTGCGAGTTTGCTCGGCGCAAGCCTTCCGTGTTGAGTGTTGGCCGGGCTCTGGTGGTTATGCACGGCAAACCAAAATCACAAGAGCCTTTTTCTTTTTCGGTAAAAAAACTATTTCGAGAGATGCCAATGCACATGAGAATACGCGAGACGGTGGCCCTCAATAAATAACATCACGAAGCACTCGTCGAAGAGACAAAAGTTGCCGACCCCTGGGCTGGGCCCAGGCTGCCAAGTGGGGCTCGGCATAAACCGGATCAAACGCAGAAAGCGTCGCCGCGTTGCAGCGCGTGAGCCCGACAAGCAGAGGTCGCAAACGGGTTTTGATTCCTTACCTGTACCCGGCCGCACCAGGGTCGCAAACGGGTACCCGTACCCTACCCGATACCCGGCTACCCGTACCCGGCCGGGTATTGGATAGGGTACAGGTACGGGTACCCGATTGCGACCTCTGGGATGAAGCCTTGTTGCAGGCGCGGGTGGGTTGATTCTAGGAACTTGAATTGTGAGAAGAGACAAGACGTTAGGAAATGAGTGGCAAACGGTTACTCAGCAGTGACTCACGGCCTACCCGTACCCGGCCGCACCAGGGTCGCATACGGGTACCCGTACCCGGCCGGGTACGGGTAGACGGGTATCGGGTAGGGTACGGGTATCGGGTACCCGATTGCGACCTCTGCCGACAAGTGGAGACGCCAGTCGGGAGAGAGAGACGCGACAGAGTGACTTTGAAGCCAGCGGGCAGCTGTTGTAACTCGGACCGCGGGGGTCAAAGTTCGATGAAACGAAAGAGGTAGACGAGAGCAAGATGGTGGGAGCGGTTTTCGGAACGCTCGGCTCCAAATGTGTGAGATGTATTATACCCTACCTCGCCTGGTATGCAGGTGGTCGTGGGTTCGATCCTGACCCTGACGCCTGCTGCTGTGTATTTGGAGTTTGCGTCTCTCTCTCTCATCATCACGGTGGCTAGGAGATGTTAACTACCTCGCCTGGTATGCAGGTGGTCGTGGGTTCGATCCTGACCCTGACGCCTGCTGCTGTGTATTTGGAGTTTGCGTCTCTCTCTCTCATTATCATCATCATCACGGTGGCTAGGAGATGTTAACTACCTCGCCTGGTGCGCAGGTGGTCGTGGGTTCGATCCCGACCCTGACGCCTGCTGCTGTATATTTGGAGTTTGCATCTCTCTCTCATCATCACGGTGGCTAGGAGATGTTAACTACCTCGCCTGGTATGCAGGTGGTTGTGGGTTCGATCCCGACCCTAACGCCTGCTGCTATATATTTGTAGTTTGCGTGTGTCTCTCTCTCTCTCATCATCACGGTGGCTAGGAGATGTTAACTACCTCGCCTGGTATGCAGGTGGTCGTGGGTTCGATCCCGACCCTGATGCCTGTTGTATATTTGGAGTTTGCGTGTCTCTCTCTCATCATCATCACGGTGGCTAGGAGATGTTCACTACCTCGCCTGGTATGCAGGTGGTCGTGGGTTCGATCCCGACCCTGATGCCTGTTGTATATTTGGAGTTGGCATGTCTCTTTCCGCGTGGTTGTGTGGATTTTTCTCTGCGGGTCCTCCGTATACTTTCTCCCCGCATTTAGAATCGACGTGCGTTTATAGTATTTGGATGCTGCTATAAATTTCCACCCGATGATGAGCCACTTTGTTGAGCTTTCATATGAGGCTAGGTCGCTTCTGAAAAAGAGCAATGTAGCTCAGTGGATAAAATTAAAATAGTTTAAATAGTTTATAGGTCGTGTTGCGTCAGTTGGCGTACGCAGCCTGCCGTGAAGCTTGGTTCAGAAAGATCGCGGTCGTTCGCCAAACGTAACGAACAGAAGGTGAACTATGCGCAGCGACACGCGGAGAGATGCATGCTGGCAATTAGACTGAAACAGAGGAACATGCTGATTGGAGAACACACACTGGTGAATAACACGATAATGATCTTCATCCAGAAGTGGATAGACGATGACGATGAAGCATGCGTGGCATTACACCGAGAGACGACAAGAAGAACACGCAACGGATTTAGAGAAGTCACGCAGGTTAAATGACGCCTTTCAAAGTGTGAAGAAAAGTCGATGGGGCTCGGTTTAGGATGCGTCGCGGCCAAAAGGGGGACGATGGCCGACGGTCGAAAGTAATAACGGAGCGGCAACCACGGAACACAACGTGTCCCCGAGAGAGACCCTCCACCTGGGAGACGGAGCGGTGAAATCAACTCGTGTGCCCAGGTAGGTGCTGGGCATGCGGCGACAACGCCATTGGGTGTACTGGCCGATGATGACGATGATGATGACGATGATGACGACGATGATGACACGTGGGTTTCCCGCTCTGCGCAGCACAAGATGGACGGACGCGAGTACCAGGACGCGCAGGAGTTTGCGAGCGACGTGCGTCTCATGTTCTCCAACTGCTACAAGTACAACCCGCCCGACCACGAGGTGGTGGCCATGGCGCGCAAGCTGCAGGTACAGCCAGCCACTTGGAGCCACGCGGGAGCCACTGGGAGACACGCGGGAGCCACTGGGAGCCACGCGGGGGTCACTGGGGGCCACTGGGAGACACTGGGAGACACGCGGGGGCCACTGGGAGACACACGGGAGCCACTGGGAGACTCGGGGGGTCGCTGGGAGACTCGAGGGGTCTCTGGGAGACTCGAGGGGTCACTGGGAGACACGCGGGGGTCGCTGGGAGACACACGGGAGCCACTGGGAGACACGCGGGGGTCGCTGGGAGACACGCGGGGGTCACTGGGAGACACACGGGGGTCACTGGAGACACGCGGGGGTCGCTGGGAGACACACGGGAGCCACTGGGAGACACGCGGGGGTCGCTGGGAGACACGCGGGGGTCACTGGGAGACACACGGGGGTCACTGGGAGACACGCGGGGGTCGCTGGGAGACACACGGGAGCCACTGGGAGACACGCGGGGGTCGCTGGGAGACACGCGGGAGCCACTGGGAGACACGCGGGGGTCACTGGGAGACACGCGGGGGTCGCTGGGAGACACACGGGAGCCACTGGGAGACACGCGGGGGTCGCTGGGAGACACGCGGGAGCCACTGGGAGACACGCGGGGGTCACTGGGAGACACGCGGGGGTCACTGGGAGACACGCGGGGGTCGCTGGGAGACACACGGGAGCCACTGGGAGACACGCGGGGGTCGCTGGGAGACACGCGGGAGCCACTGGGAGACACGCGGGAGCCACTGGGAGACACACGGGGGTCACTGGGAGACACGCGGGGGTCGCTGGGAGACACACGGGAGCCACTGGGAGACACGCGGGGGTCGCTGGGAGACACGCGGGAGCCACTGGGAGACACGCGGGGGTCACTGGGAGACACGCGGGGGTCGCTGGGAGACACACGGGAGCCACTGGAGACTCGGGGGGTCACTGGGAGACACGCGGGGGTCGCTGGGAGACACACGGGAGCCACTGGGAGACTCGGGGGGTCACTGGGAGACACGCGGGGGTCGCTGGGAGACACGCGGGGGTCACTGGGAGACACGCGGGGGTCGCCGGGAGACACGCGGGGGCCGCCGGGAGACACGCGGGGGCCACTGGGAGACACGCGGGGGTCGCTGGGAGACACACGGGGGCCGCTGGGAGACACGCGGGGGTCACTGGGAGACACGCGGGGGTCGCTGGGAGACACGCGGGGTCCGCTGGGAGACACGCGGGGGCCGCTGGGAGACACGCGGGGGTCGCTGGGAGACACGCGGGGGTCACTGGGAGACACGCGGGGGTCACTGGAAGACACGCGGGGGTCACTGGGAGACACGCGGGGTCGCTGGGAGACACGCGGGGGTCGCTGGGAGACACGCGGGGGTCGCTGGGAGACACGCGGGGGCCGCTGGGAGACACGCGGGGGTCACTGGGAGACACGCGGGGGTCACTGGGAGACACACGGGGGTCACTGGGGGACACGCGGGGGTCACTGGGGGACACGCGGGGGTCACTGGGAGACACGCGGGGGTCACTGGGAGACACGCGGGGGTCACTGGGAGACACGTGGGAGACACACGGGAGACACGCGGGGGTCTCTGGGAGACACGCGGGGGTCACTGGGAGACACACGGGAGACACGCGGGGGTCGCTGGGAGACACGGGGGTCACTGGGAGACACGCGGGGGTCACTGGGAGACACGCGGGGGTCACTGGGAGACACGCGGGGGTCGCTGGGAGACACACGGGGGTCACTGGGAGACACGCGGGGGTCACTGGGAGACACGTGGGAGACACACGGGAGACACGCGGGGGTCTCTGGGAGACACGCGGGGGTCACTGGGAGACACACGGGAGACACGCGGGGTCGCTGGGAGACACGGGGGTCACTGGGAGACACGCGGGGGTCACCGGGAGACACGCGGGGGTCACTGGGAGACGCGCGGGGGTCGCTGGGAGACACACGGGGGTCACTGGGAGACACGCGGGGGTCACTGGGAGACACGCGGGGGTCGCTGGGAGACACGCGGGGGTCGCTGGGAGACACGCGGGGGTCGCTGGGAGACACGCGGGGGTCGCTGGGAGACACGCGGGGGTCACTGGAGACGCGGGGGTCACTGGGAGACACGCGGGGGCCACTGGGGGACACGTGGGGGCCGCTGCGTGCCATACACTGCAGGATCACCTCCCTTCTTCCCTCTCAACGCTCCATTTTGGAATTCCCTCTTACGGTCCATTTCCCCCCCGTCGCTCGTAAAAACCGTGCTCAATTTATGGCCCTTGCCACACTTTTATATATTACTGCTCTTAATAGCCCGTTTTTGTTGTTCGCCACGTGATGTTGTGGGCTTTTAGGGCCTGTGCTCAATATTATAAATAAACAACTAAAGAATAAGAGCCACCTGCTCCCAATTGCTCCACCGTCATCTCAGTGGTGTGACGGTGGTGGTGGCGTCGTGTGTGAGTAGCGGTGGCACAGTGGTTAGCACACCGCTTTCGATCTCGGCGACCCGAGTTAAATTCCCGCTCGCCGTCCTTGGCCTCCCCTAGGTCGAGTTAGTCGTTAATGATGACCTGGTGCTACACGGAAACGGAATAGATATTTATACTGGCAGGAGGAGGAATGCGATGACCTACGGAGCCCTTTTTCACAGATGTCCAGTCGGGACGGGTAATAACGTAACAACTAACAATACAAAAAAACTTGATAGTAGTGTAAAGTACAAGAAAGGTAAACAAATCTTCCAAATTTCGATTCAAAGCTTTCGTGACTGCAGGGATTCATCTTCTTGGTTCTTTCGGTAAAGTCACGTAGAAGGGAAGTAATAAAATAATAAAAATAAAACATTAAATAATTCTCACGACGTTTCGGCCACGCTGTCGCCTCGACAGACCTGGTTTTCACCTGAAGACGGCTGCTTGCGTTGTGGTCGAAACGTCGTGAGAATTATTTTATTATGTTTATTATTTTATTACTTCCGTTCTACGTGACTTTACCGATAGAACCAAGAAAATCTTCCAACACGTACAAATCAAACAAAACCATCCTACCAGGCAAAACCCACTGAGGTATTAACTTATTTTTCAGAAGTGACCTGTCCATCGCAAATGATAGCTGAACTGAGTGACGTATCACTTGGACATTTAGAGACTAAGGCAGCCAGGACGTGGCAGAGGTCGCAACCGGGTACCCGATACCCGTACCCTACCCGGTACCCGGCTACACGTACCCGGCCGGGTACGGGTACCCGTTTGCGACCCTGGTGCGGCCGGGTACGGGTAGGCCGTGAGTCACTGGTGAGTAACCGTTGTCACTCATTTCCCAACGTCTTGTCTCTTCTCACAATTCAAGTTCCTAGAATCAACCCACCCGCGCCCGCAACATGGCTTCATCCCAGAGGTCGCAATCGGGTACCCGTACCCTACCCGATACCCGGCCGGGTACGGGTAGCCGGGTATCGGGTAGGGTACGGGTACCCGTTTTTTACCCTGGTGCGGCCGGGTACGGGTAAGGAATCAAAACCCGTTTGCGACCTCTGGGACGTGGTGCTGCTGCTGCTGGCCACCCCACCCCTTTGCGTGCCGTGGGCCCGGTCCTCCGTCGGCGCCGCTCGCAAGCGCACGCTTGCCCCAGCGGGCCCGTTAAATCGTGCGCGGTGGGGGCGGGTTCCGTGTTTTTTCCCAGGACATGTTCGAAATGCGCTTCGCCAAGATGCCCGACGAGGCTGGGGGGGCGCCAGCCCGGCCCAGCCCCCCGCGGCGCCACCCCCTCCCCCCGAGCCGGTGTTGCCGACCTCGGAGAGCGAGAGCACCGAGGAGAGCAGCGCGGA